GTTATGTAATACATCAAAGAGTGCACTCCAGTACACTAACAGGTACATGTATAGGGTAATACCCCCCCCCCCTTCCCCAACCACCCCCAACCACCCCTGTTTACGCACGTATCCGTCCTGAGTGCATATTTTCAGACCAGTTTTAATGCATGGATCTGTGTCTGATTCTCTTTGAATTCAAGGTGACATGAGGCATGTGGCGTGGCGTGTTGTACATCCGCTGTTACATGTACTACTGTGATCTGACGTGAATGGAACTTCTCATTGTTCATACCAAGTGCATGTCCGGTAAGGGTGACAACTGACAAGTTGGTCTGATTTGAATTCTTTTTACTTGGCGTGTAGTAAGGTTTGCAGAAAGTAGTTGGGTGGACAAAAACTAGTATTGTTTGTGGTTGATTTATGTTCCATTCTTTGCGCTCGTATTTTACTTCTACATGCTTCATACATTTTTGATTCATGATAGCTGTGTTCTCCTCTTGGGTGGCTGTATTTGTGTGAGACTTGCCTTGCTGTGGAATTCTCTTTTCATTACAACTTGACTTAGCCTTGACGATGACTATGCCTCGGCGATAATTGAGTAGACTTTAAAGCATGATACCATACAGTTTGTCCACTGATTGAATATTTCCAAACATGTAGTCAGTTCGTTGCATGTCGGTACACGAGTTGTATGCTTTTGGTCACTGTTTTCTGGTTATAGTTCCGTTCCATTGTACATACCGATAATAGTGAAACTCACACACTGCTTACTTTGATCCTGTAAGATGTTCATGTTTGTACGTGTATGTGTGTGTGTGCATGTGCGTGGATGTGTGCACACACATGTGTGTGTTTGTGTGTCGGTGTGCATATGTGTCTGTGCGAAAAAAGGCCACTTGAAAGTGCTGTGTGGTGTAGACCAGGCTGAATAGTGGTGGTCAATTCTTCAGACTTGCAAGCTGTTGAATAGTGCAATCCCAGCACAAGTTGCTATGGCTACTGCTGTAGCCTGTAGCATCGCCCCGGTGATGGGCGTCAAAGGTCAGAATGTGTGCGTGTGCGTGCGTCTGTGTGTGTGTGTGTGTCCCATATGTTGCAGTGGTATGTGCAGTCGATCATGGTCGATTCTCGGTTGCGGGTTCGATTCCCGACGATTATGGCTGCACACTAGGTGTTGGCGGATAATGCCGGCATTATATCGAGCATTATACACCACCAAGAGCATTCTTCTCCGAATGGGGTCTTACCGTCAATACCAGTAAGACTGAGTGGATCCGTATTTACCTGGAACCCACTTTGGGAGATGCCACCTCTACAACATCTAGAAAGGTCGGCACAACTCGTGGTAAAGAAGCTTGGCGACAGGTGCATCATGAAGACACTCGGCTCGCTATACGGCTCCGGGGAGGACGTAACGCGCCGTATTGGCTTGGCCGCAAGAGCATTTGGAGACACTCTGAAGTTATGGTTCAAACACAACCTGCTTTCTACACCCATCAAAATTCGTTTATACAACACTTTCGTTCTACCAATCTTGACCTACAACCTTGCTTGCCATGGCCTGTCCCGTGCACAAGAAAAGCGCCTAGATGTGTTTCATAGGAAACAGCTGCGGTGTACCCTTGGAATAACCTACCCAGATGTCATCTCGAATGCAGATGTATATTATAGCAATAAAAACTGCTTTATGGCAGTTTTCTAAAAAAAGTTATTGTGTTCTAGTCCATGGACCCCGTCTAAAAAGTAAGAAATTAACGAAATGTGATAGCTGAAAATTAAAATTTCACACAAAACCTCACAATAATCACAACACTTGAAATGCTGCTTTCAACACTAAACTTGTACTGCACCAACAATTGGCAACATGCAGTCATGCATGCATAGGAAAGAGGATCACGAGGGGAAAAGGTCTTCTACATGTACATGTAGCTTTTCATTCTGTGTGTGATTATTGTGAGGTTTTGTGTGAAATTTTAATTTTCAGCTATCACATTTCGTTAATTTCTTACTTTTTAGACGGGGTCCATGGACTAGAACACAATAACCTTTTTTAGAAAACTGCCATACAGCAGTTTTTATTGCTATAATTTCTTTTGTTTTTTCCGTCACCAATCAATGGAATGCCCTATATCAATATGTAAATGATGGCCTTCACATCATATCAATACCGTATTATGCGCATTGATGTGCAAGCCTTTTCTTGCAGAAAATGGGACTAGCATGTTCTTCTGCGGGGATACATGTGAGTAGTGGTGGACCGTGGTGATACTTTTTTTAGACGGAGGTCATTCTGTGCATGTTGCTGTAGCAGAATTTCATGACTCTGTCATAAAATTGTCTTGCCTTTCAGATATTTCAGATTTCCCCACCCTTGAACAGATTTATTTGAGAAATGTAACCAGGTGCGTGTTGCAGATGTTTTTGTTGATTCTGTGTTTATAATGGTTTATAATCATGGGTTATCGTGATAAGGTCATCCTGCATCATATTGCACTGAAATCGTAACCCTGTTGATGTCGATACAACTTTTGGAAGTAGTTCAATGACTTCAAACTGTTAGTCCACGATTTTCTAAAACAACACAGCAAAGGAGGAACAATAAATATGTATTAAAATGTAAACAAATACATTGCTGATCCCGACACCTCGTTCCAACAACTACACTGAAACTGAGGATAAAAGGGGCAAGGCTATGGTTGGAGGTACTGAGAGATAAACAAGGCACTCCATAATAATAGAATCGTACACATTTTTTGGTGAGGATGAATGATATCCAGTCGAACCTCTTTAGGACGAACACCAAGGGACCGATGGTATTTATTCTGTGAGTTTGTCTTAACCTATTTTATAACCAGTGAATACAATTATTTCTCCAATAGACATACGAATAGATTTCTTCTACAGCGAAAGATTCTAAGCCACACCAACTCATTGACTCGTCTCGTATGACACAAATGAGTCACTAGAGAGGTTCTGCAAAACGAAAATGCGTACAAACAGTCCTTCCACGTCCTGAAGTGCGAAACTTCGCACGAACTTTCGCAACTTTGGACGCGAAACTTGCAGGGAACGCGAAATGAACAGTCGTACACACTTTCGTGAGATCGGGTCATGGCGTACGTGCACTTGGCCCGCGCAAACTACGAAAACGTGCAGAACGCAAAGTTCGTGCAAAAATTCGTACACACTTTCGCAAGGACTGTCGCGAAACTTCGTTCGAATTTTCGTTTTGCAGAACCTCTCTACTGAACGTTTCTTTAGCAACATGACGGCAACTGAAACAGCAAGAGAGAAAGTACGATACATGTACAGCACATTCTTGCAGGTACTACAAACAGATTGCAGATCGTAATTCTTGCCTTGGCGGCACGAAACTTCATTTGGGGCAGTGCAATCTCGGCGGAACTCACAAATAATAAATCAAACAGCCCAGACTCGGGTAAGCAAATCTAATCATACAAGTACGAGATCTTCACGAGACGAGACTGCACCCTTTGACTTGTTTCGTATGAAGCAAACAAGTTTACTGAACCTCTCCGCAATGGAGATTTTCCCTGATATGCGAATTTATTTTGCAAACTCGGTCAATGGGTCCTTGAACCTTTCCCTCCAGATTGGGAACTGCCAACGATAGTATGCCACTGACCAGTGCCTTACTTGTAACGTACCAATGTACAATGAATATGAGTATTTCGACAACACATCTAACATAAGCCTTACCGTCAAGAAGGTGAACTCGCGTTCTTCGCACACTGTAGACAAGGGCAAAGAGGTAAAAATGGATCTAAATCCGAATAAAATCAGCACACGTTTCCGTAAATGAAAGGGTGAGCATAAGCAAATGAATCGAAGGAAACCGGTCAACTCAGAGATCACCTGTCATCGAGTATTCCGTAAAAGGAGGCCTCGGCAGCGGAAAAGCTAAATTTAGAAAAGAGGTCCTGCCAGCTTTTCCATTATTTATTGCATTCCGCCCAAAATGAGCACACTTTTCGTAAATGAAAGAGTCAACACAAGCAAAAGAATCAAAGGGAACTGGTCAACTCAACTGTCATTGAGTAATATAATATTCCGCGAAAGGAGGTCTCAGCAGCGCCGAAACGAAATAAGCCAGGCCAGGAGACGAAATATCCGAAACAGCTCATACAAGAAGCAGTTCCAAAGGAGGAAGTTCCTCGCGCATGCACATCCGAACACGGACTGCACTGCAACACAATGTCTGCCGTGCACGTGCACAGCACGCGGCTACCAACCGTTGGTAGATTCATACCGAGCACCTTACGTAGAGACTTACGTAGTCTAAGTGAAATACCGAGCACCTTACGTAGAAACTTACGTAGCATAGCGATGTCGTTTTTCTTGCCATGTGAACACAATAATAGAAAAGCTGACAGGATCGCTTTTCTAAATGCTGTTACTGGCCAGTGCTCTGTATCTGAAATGGCCAAGCGGGACAGGTGGAAGCTATTAGGACATATATTACGCCAGCCAAGTGACATCCCTGCAAATGTTGCTCTCACTGCTTTCTGTACATATGCTACCAGTCAGCCCTTTCGAATAGGTGCACCCCGCTCTTGCCTCACCACAAGTCTCCAGCGAGACGTCCGCCTCACACCTATCTGCATTTTTAAGCCCAGCTGCCTTCGTGATCTCGGCACCT